GAGCAGGGAGCCCGATGCGGGACTCGATCCCGGGACTCCAGGATCATGACCTGAGCCGAAGGCAGTCGCTTAACCAACTGAGCCACCCAGGCGCCCTGTCCTATGTATTTAACAGTCTATTTTAAGTTGGTAAAAACTTAAATTTGAACATGTTCCAAAAATACATTTTTACTAACCCCCTGTTTTGTTTTTGATGTCACATTTTACACTATTTTATGTATCCCTTAACTAATTATTGTAGCTTTCCTTAATTTTACTACTTCTGTCTTTTGACCTTCATACTAGCTTCATAAGTGATTAATCTGCTACCTTTACTATATATTTACCTTTTCCAGTGACATTTTTACTTTCATGTGTTTTCTTATTATTAATTAGTGCCATTTCTTTTCAGCTGGAAGAAATCAGTAGATTTTTTAGCAGAAACTCTACAGGCCAGAAGGGAGTGGCATGACTTATTCAAGGTGCTGAAAGGAAAAAACCTGCAACCAAGAATACTCCACCTGACAAAGCTGCCATTCAGAACAGTCAGAGAGGCAAAGAATTTTCCAGATAAGCAAAAGCTAAAGGAGTTCATCACCACTAAATCAGCCGTACCAAAAATGTTAAAGGGACTTCTTTAATTAAAGCTGAAAAGAAATGGCGCAGTTCTATTTAAAGTTATACCATAATTTATTCAACAATCCCGTGACTGGACAATTAGGTTATTTCCAATTTAGTTCTCTTATATGCCTCAGAAGATGAAAAAAAAGAAAGCAACTGCCTACTTGTTCATAAAATGCAAAGACAATATTAAGGAAACTAACAATAGCAATGCTTTTACATTATTCCTGGTATTAATAAACTATCTCACTAAACAAAACAAAGCATCTTAGCCAATACAAATTAGCTTTTATTTTTGGTATATAAAAATCAAGTGATGAAATGTGAATTATATATTAATAAAGCTGTTATTTAAAAAAAAAAAATCAAAAAACAAGGAGAAAGAAGTTCCCAACTCTGACATAACAAGCTTAGAGTAGATGGATCTGTGAGAAGCCGTACTTGGTTTTATCATTCTTTTTAAAATTTTTGCAGATTTGGTAAATAAAAAATAGTGTATCATTCTCATTTTCATTTCTTTGATTACTAGTGAAGCTGAATATCTATCTTTTCACATTTACTGGCCATTAATATCTCCTGTGAACTGCTTGATCACGGCCTTTTTAATTCTTTCTACTGGATGTTTCCATTTTTCAACTGATCCATCAAAGCTCTTTACATTATTGGGTTTTAACCTGTCTGTCCTATATGTTACAGATATATTCTTCCCAGTATGTTATTTATCTAAAAATGTACCATTATTGGGGTGCCTGGGTGACAGAGTCAGCTAAGTGTCTGACTCCTGGTTTTGGCTCAGGTCATGATCTCAGGATCGTGAGATCGAGCCCCCCACCCCCATCGGGCTCCATGCTCAGCAGCGAGTTCTGCTTAAGATTCTCTGTCCCTCTCTCTCTGCCCCTCCTGTTCATGTGTGCTTTCTTTCTCTCAAATAAATACATCTTTAAAATAAAAATGTAACATTATTTAAGGTTTTTAAAAGAAACTGTAGACAAGCTTAACATTTTTATAGTGCTCAATCTGACTCTCTTCCTATACCCAATCTGGCTTTTATGCCATGCTGAATTTAAAGAGACTTCATCATCCAATTACATATGCTCACTTATATTTTTAGTACTCGTGTAGCCCTACTTTTTAACATCAAGTCTCTAAGTCACTGGAATTTATTTTGGGGTTAAGTGTGAGATCAAGATATAACTTAATTTTCCTTCCAAACAGTTAACAAGTTGTCACAATTCTATTCACTGAAAAGTCTGCCCTTTTCCATGTTGATCTAAGCTGCCATGTTGATCATATGCTAAATTCTTAAATATACTCAAGTCTATTTCTACACTTTACATTCCAGTTAACTGATCTAGCAGTAACACAAAGGTGCTTCTTATACCTTGTTAGCACATTTTAACATCCGGCAGAACAAGTCTGGATTTCTCCCAGCTCTCTAGCCCCACATCTCCTTCCCTTCATATCTTCATATGGCCCTCGATAATGGACTTTTCCCTTTGGTTGCCAGCTGGTGCAGAGAACAAAGCAGGGCATGATGGCAGATGGGGACAGAGAAGTAAGCAGAAGACGCACCACAGAGAGCTGTGTAGGCCAGACCTTAGAGCTTGGACTTTATCTTGAAGGCAATGGGGAGGTGCAGAGCCGACACACAAGTGGAGTTGCATGTTACTAATGACAAAGAGGAGTCAAGAAAGATGTAGGGAGACTAACTGATGGCTCAATAATCCAGGTAAGAAGAGAGAAGAGTGGCCTAAAGAGGAAGATAAGTGGGCATATTCCACAGATACTCAGGAAGCAAAATCAATAGGACTGGGTGAATGACTGGTTAGGGATGTTGAAGGAGCCACAGTGGTTTCAGTCTAGGACCACAGGGGAGATGATGCTGTGTTCACTAAGCTAAGGTATTGAGGAAGAAAAGGTCAGAGGTTACAGTTAGATTTGGAGGAGAGACAATGACTGCAGTTTGGAAAAGGCTGATTACAACCCGAAGGATCCCCTGTGCGGTGTGCTGCTTGTAAGGTCTCAGATCTAACTCACTTAATCTCCCTGGGTGTCAGCTGCTGCATCCTGACGGGACCCAGTAAGCTCTAGCATCACTGACTGCTCCAAAATCCCGCTTTACAATCTCAGAGTGGCCGGGAGCCTAGTTTACTGTAGGGATGCTGCAGTGAGCCCGCATCCGGAGTGAGGGAGGAGCAGGCCTCAAGGCAGCCATCCACCTTAGATTCCTGGCAAAATCTGGCAACAAAACTCTTCTGGACACTTTACTAGCCTTAAAACATGTCTGCTCGCCAGAACTCTGCTACCTCAACCTTCATTTCCCTTGGTCTGTGAAGTACTTCCCCTCCCTGCATGCGGAACCCTGTGCTGGTCCCTACTAATCTTCCTCCTCCAAGGCCTGACCCCCTTATCTCTGCCCTGGGCATATACAGAGTGATTTCATTCTCCCCTTGATCCCTGGAAATATTAAAGAATAGCAGACCACTCAAGGAAGAAACCTAGGATGACAAAGAGCTGATTTTTTTCTCCTTCTGTCAAACTCATATAATTTTACTAATTTTTTGCTTTTCCTATTGTGCAAGGAACTAGGTTTCTACTCATTTCACTAAAAATCAAAACAAAACAAAAAACTGTTGCTCAGGAGCAAACTACAAAATGCTTATCTGTGGATGGGCGCCTGGGTGGCTCAGTTGGTTAAGCGACTGCCTTCGGCTCAGATCATGATCCTGGAGTCCCGGCATCGAATCCCGCATCGGGCTCCCTGCTCGGCGGGGAGTCTGCTTCTCCCTCTGACCCTCCCCCCTCTCATGCTCTATCTCATTCTCTCTCAAATGAATAAAAAAAAAAAATGCTTATCTGTGGAGAAGAAAACATGTCACCTAGCAAAGATAACTAGTATTAATAGGTTGGGTGTACGTATACGAGTTTTTTTTTTTTTTTCGTAAAAAACTAAACAGATAATTCAGTATATACTTTTACAGCCTGCTTTTTCATTTATGATTCTTTTGGAGCCCCATCTTTAAGTGTGAGTCTCCCATCACTAAAGTAACCACTTGCTAGACACCCAGGCAGACGCTAAGAGTCTGGATCAGGAGAGTTGCCAGGTCACCACCCCCTCCCATTTCAGCAGGAGGTCAGTTAGAGCCAAGAGCCACAACCCAAGACCTCACTGGCAAAGCTGCCCTGCGTGGTGTGACGTGGGTATTCCAGAAGTGGCGGGATTAATTACCTGAGTTTTAGCTGGGACCGCACCTCTCCAAACTCCAGCTGGAGCAGTTCATTGTAACAGGCCATGAGGCTGGGGTTTTCCACATACCTCTACAAAGAGAAAGGAGATGTTGTGGATAAACAAATGTGCATCTTTAATATGTCTATCAATAAAAATAACTCTTTTCAACAGACTTCTCAAGTGGGTAACCGAAATCTAAAAAATACATCATCTTTAGCAATGAACAGGAACTGAGAAATGAAAACCTGTGGGTACCAAATTAACTTTTAAGAAGGCAGGGCTTAAGAATGCTTTGTTTGAGGTAAGAGGATTTTGGTTGTCTGCATGTCACTATCGGAGGCTAGAATAAGTAGAAGGAAGAAACTTACTGAAGTCCTATTTATATTAACTTCCAGAGTATATTCCCTTATTCAAGCACAGGATGCTGTCCTCCTTACAGCTGTTCAAGCTCACAGTAAGCAAACACACGCTTGCACTTCTCTTTGCACCGGTATTTCACAAAGATAACCCCAACTCAGGCGACAGTTTCTACAGCCACCTCTAACCACGGCTCAACCAAGCCATCAGAGGATGGTCCTCCACGTGAGAGGTGCTGGCAGAGCGGTGGCTTTGCCCAGCAGCTCTCACTGCTGTGGACAATGACTACCTCGTATAACAACATTTACATAAAGGAGGCACCGCACCACAAAGCAAATGACACAGTTCTGAGAAGCATGGACCCATTCCACCACCAAATGATGGATTCCATGAAGACATCTTAGAACTCACTTGTTCTGTCACATGGTTCCATTCAGGCGGAAGAAATATTTGGGAATATTTACTCACCCCTATTTCTATGACCAGCGCTCGCTTTCACTTGCTCAGTGCATGGCTAATACTCTAACGGAGAGGGGGAGGCTGAGGCCGAAGAGGCAGGGCAGGGCCTCTACAGGCCACCACCTCCAAGCCAACGCCAGACCTGTCTGGAACACGGGCCCCTCAGAGAGCTCTTGCCTCTGCCACAGTGAAGGTGAATAGCCCCCCATTTAAACAGTGCTCAGGACCTTGTCTGAGTGTCAAGCAAGCTAATAATAACCCAGCCCCAGGTTCATGCCTTATAAACCCTATGACCCTAAATGAGGCCCCCAACCCTTCTGGGCTGGCTTCCCCACTTGCAGAACAAGACTATCCTGCTCGTAGCCGCCGCGGGTGACCGTGAGAACCGAGTGAGGCAGGGGCGGAAGCGCTCTAGCTGCAAAGTGCTGTAGGACCACAGAGGACGGTGCCTGCTGTGTCCCTCGGAGGGGAGGGGGGAAGGCAGAGACAGCTGGCCATGGGCGGGGTGGTCCCTAACCCACAGGCCAAAACAGAAGTCAGAGAGGTGCCACGCCCAGCAGCTCTCACCTACTGAGAGAGGAGGAGGGCGCTGGCCCTACCGTCCGTTCCTGGTCAGCCCCGACTCCACAGAACCCCGGAGAAGGCCGTCCACCCGCGCGGGCGTCTGCTGCTGACCAGGCAGGAACAGGGAGGAGATTCCTGGGCACAGCGCTTGTGCTATACCGCCAGCAGACAAGGGGGTGGGGACTGGCGCTGTCCAAGGGCCTGGCTGGCCTCACCAGCTCTGCAGGTGAGATCCTGGGATGTGGAGACACGTGAATTTATAAATGGCCTCCCAGGCACGCAACCAGACTTTTCACTGGGTAGGAATGTGTATATCCAAACTTCTTCACCCCAAAGGCGGACATCCAAGTTACAAAATAAGCACGTGGGGCCCCACGTAGAGCATCTTGCCCCTGCTTTCTGCCCCTCCCTCGCTACTTCTGCTCTGCTTGTGAACATCCAGTCTTCCCAGCCCTTCGCCAAGTAGGTCCCAAAGATGCCATGAGGCATGGAGGGCAGAGAAGGGCCCCGGGTCCAGGGACGCTTGGGAAACAGCTGTGCCGCTCCTACTCCTGCAGCAGCAGCTCGCCTCCTCGCCCTACCCCATCCCACCAGGGGGGCCGGGCCACAAATCCTATGGACTCCTGAGTTGACTCAACCTCGCTTTTCCAGAGCCTTTATCACGCCCACCTGGCTGGGCCCCACCCGGTGGTTCTCAGCCCTGGGCTGCTATTAGAATTACCTGCAATCTCACAAACTAATACCAATGTGCAGGCCCCTCCCAACACCACCTGAAAGAGACTCTCTAGGAAAGCTTTTCAGGGGATTCTCACGCACAACCAGCACTGAGATACACCAAGCCTGAACCTTTCAGATGTTAGTCAGCAAATGCTTGGCTGTGCCACCAGGTCCAACTGAGGAAGCAAGCAGGTCTCCATCCATCCTGAAATCCTGAACGATGGCGCTAACCCATAAAATAGTTGACTGCCCGCTGAAGACCAGAGACCCCACTGCAGGATTGGCTTTTAGGTCTAGGGCTGACTCAGGCGTTGGCATCACTGCCTACCAGCCATGGGACTTGGGAGAGTCACCGTGCCCTCTGTCACCTCAGTATCCTGTTGTTACGTGAAGGTACGGGACTCTGCTTAGAGGAAGATTAGTTTTCACTTGTGGTCTCTGACCCTGGCCATCCACTTGAATTAATCATCTACATAATGGTGAGCCTGCTGCTCCCTCCTTATTTGCCAGGTCATGTACCTCTACAATGACTACTTTAAAGCTTCTGTGCTTGGGGACGTGCACCCGAGAGTGGTTCTAGCAACGGCTTGAGGACCCCATGACTGAGTGTGTGGGTGAGAGGGCGGAGAATGTGTGCGTCAGCCGCTCTTGCATTTCAAGTCAGCTTCATGATAGCTCGATTATACTAAGAAAACAGAAGGACTGAGGTGTGCTATCCCTTCTCCCAGGATGCTCTCTCCAGTCCACACGCCGTGCCAGGGTGCTGCCTTGTGGGGAATTTCAAACACATGCATTCCCAACACACATCTATGCCCTTTCAAAGAGACCTCATACAAACATAAAGCTTCATGACTTCTGGTGGCTGTCGGTAAGCAAAGAATCCAAGGCAGGGCACATCATCTATCCCCAAGTTTCACTAGAAAGTGGAAGCTTCAGAGGTCCTTGCTAAAAAAAAATTTAAAAAATAGCCAGTTTTGAAGCTCAAGAATAATAACATAAAGATTTTCAAAGCTAGCTGGGGCAGTTTTTCTCCTTGTGTGAATGCTTTGCCCAGTAGGTTGGAGGTGGGGCATGACCTAGGATCCACCACCAGCAAGAGGTGATCCACAGCTTCCCACCCCAGAACCTGTACTTACAGGAACACTCACCTTCACACTGGCTGACTTGGGTTGTTCTCAGACAACTTAGTATGGATTCCTGGAGGTGAGGCAATGGGGGGAGGTGTTGATATGGGTGTATGCTTTGGGAGTTGTCAAAAAAAAAAGGCGGGGGGGGGCACCACAAAACCAATAATAATCTAATGTGTGCTTTTATATAAAATTGTGTGTGTATAAAGTAAAATCTTAAGCTCCATATTATTGGATGTTATAATTGGAATTTCTGTGCTCTTTTTGTCTGCATTTACTTGCTACCTTTGTTCACTTATTACTAAGCTTTTATCACTTTGTCTTAGAAATGTCATATAACTATACTTAATAACCCAGTCCAGCAGCATATCTTTTTTTTTAATTCTTATGTTAATCCCCATACATTACATCATTAGTTTTAGATGAAGTGTTCATGATTCATTGTTTGTGCATAACACCCAGTGCTCCATGCAGAACGTGCCCTCCTCAATACCCACCACCAGGCCAACCCATCCTCCCACCCCCCTCCCCTCTAGAACCCTGTTTGTTTTTCAGAGTCCATCGTCTCTCACAGCAGCATATCTTTTTAAAAAATGGGAGAAATTAGTCCGTTCACATGCATTTGATTTTACTCCTTCTATCTTGCTGTGTCTTCATGACTGGTTTCACACTGTTGCTTCTTCTTCCTTGTCAGCCAGTTTGACCAAGTTGCTATAAATTTCACAGTTCCTCTTGTGAATTTGGAAGGTTTGTTAAACTTTTCTATTAACTGTTACCTTCCTTCTCACTGATCTCAAGGGCCGACATAGACTTCCTTACTACTATTTGAAAACAAGATGCCAGTCACCCCCAGAATCGACTATCTCCCAGAGAACAAATGTTCTAGTCTGCACATTTCCCAGATGAACACTTTGGAATACTTTCATTGCCTGCTCTCCCCCACCCCCCGTTTGCTAAATAAAGCCGAGAATGCTTTTACCTCAACCTCCTCCCCACAAAACTTGAAAACGCCTATGTTTGCTAAGACAGTCTAGCATTTAAAGACTGACCTATTGTTCAAATTTTTCTTTTGGTATGTCCCCTCTGTTTTTCCTTTTCGGTCTAACATGACGCCTAGATAGATAGAGATATTTTACTTACATTTCGTACGTTCTCTAACTATAAACAAAGCTCTACTGCAGGTTATTTGTGCACGCACAGGGGAAGAAGGGCGGGCCGCAGAGACAGGGAGGTGGCAGGCAGGCAGGCACATGTGCACGGCAGGTTCGCTGCTCCCCACTTCCCTCCACGTCATCCCTCCTCCCTCCTCTTCAAGTTTCTGCTTGAGTTCATCTGTTGTGTCAGTGGGGTCCTTTCTCAATTCTTTGCCTCAGACAGGACACTTGGGGAAAGAGGACTCTGAATTTTATGCCCTGAAAGGTGAACAAGCACTCGGCTGCACATCCTTCTCCTGCTGCCATCTCTAATCAGACTAAACATTTCTAGGACTGTTTTATACAGTAACTGTGTGCTTATATTTACCACCAAGTTCAGCAATTTCTGGCTTCATTCCTTCTTGCATTTCAAGACTTTCGCTTGGAAATCACCTCCTTCTGCTTGAAGCACACCCCGTACCAACTCCTTCCATTTCCATATTGCTGAAAGTGTGTCAGTCTCATCCTTGAAAACCTTCCTGCTGGGGTTACCACTCTAGGTGAGCAGTTATTTTATCCCATTCAAAGTATTATCCCACTATTTTCTATTTTCCATTTATCACTGCTGAGAAGCTAACTGTTAGTCATCCTTCTTCTGAAGGTCATCTTTTTTTTCTGGTGAGATTTTCACTATGATGTGTCTTCTTTTTATTTACTCTTCTTTGAATTTGCTGGAATTTCTGAATCTGTGGACTACAGTCTTTCATCAGTTCTGGAAAATTCTCTTCAAACATCACTCTGCCCCATTCTCTCTCCTGTCCTCCTGGAACTCCAGTTACATATACGCTAAACTATACACTCTATCCTCCACACTTCTTAACCTCCCTAACTTATTTTCTATTATTGAATCTCTGTGTTACATGCTGGATGATTTCTTCAGACCCACTACATTTTAAAATTTTCAGTTATAATGTGTTCATTTCTCAAAATTCGATTATGTTCTGCCTAGAATTTGCTGTGTCACTTTTTATAGTTTTCCTATTTCTTGCAGACATTTGCAAGCTTGTCTTTTATTCTTTACATATAATAAGCATAATTCCTTTATAATTCGAGTCTGATAATTCTGGTGTCTGTGGGCTGTGAGGATGTTTTTGCTGTCCTTCCCCTACTGGTTCTCACTCGCAGTGCCTCATCTCCTGTGGACTGGTCAGCGTCCGTGGAATGCTGGCTGCTGCCTTTGAGCAATTACTTGCAGAGATTCTCTGAGGCCAGAGATAAAGGTGTCTTGCTCTGGAGAGGATCTGTATTCGCTTCTGCCAGGTACCCAGGAATACGACCTACCACCTAGAACCACTTTAAACTAAATTTGTGGCTTGGGGTGTCTTGACTACCTCCCAGATATAAATTTTGGCCACAAATCTGCCCCAGGATCAGCCTTACATAAGTTCTCTCCATTGTGATTCCCAAGGCTCACTGGCAACCAGCTGACCAAAGCCTTTAGAAGCCTTTTGGCTTAGGGAAAACCAACAGATCAGTGCTGAGGGTGGAGAGGGAGTCATGTTTGGGCTGCCTCATTTCCAGAATCCTTGCTGCCTTTCAAATTGCACATATACATGTCAGCATTATAACAACATCTCGTGTGGCATAACTCTTAATGAGTATGCCATTAAAGGAGATTTTATGATGTTTAGATGACTTTAGCAGGCATAATCCTGAGAGAGCAAAAACTTAAAGTGTTGTAGATTATTCAGATTACCAAGTTCTAAAGTTAAACTACACTGTAACAGCACAGGACAACAAAGTTTTTTCTTCAAATGAATTCAAAACTTTTGCTGGCTCTCAACAGAGATAAAATGTAATTTCTCAGGCTGAATTATACTTGCATAACAAAGTAGTGGGTACATACCCTTGTAAAGCCAGCAGCAATGAGGGGCATCACAGATGACTCTTCTCTATCCGTCCTTCAGAAGAACATAGTAAAGGGTTAGAGACCGTTTTTATCAATTACAGCTCACCTCTAACTTTTCACTAATTTACGTAATACTAGGACTATCATGTTAAATACCTTTTGATGAATTAGATTAATATACCAATCAGAAGTGTAAAATTGAAAATAGTTTTCTGTTTTAGTTCTGTATGTCACTTTCTGGCAATGCTTGAAATATGGAGATTCTGCACTAACAGCCAGAATACAGAAGTAACCACATACCTATTTGATATGTAAAAATTTTAATTTAAATTCTTCCCCATTTTCTTCTACTTGCAGTTTCTTAAAAAAAAAAAAAAAGTCTTTTCTCCCCTGAAAGCTCTGGAAAAAAGTTTAAAGGACAAAGAATCCTTTCTTCTATCTACAAAAGTATATAAGCCAATTAACATTTATTTGAATACTGCCCTTCTCCTAACATATTTCTATTCTTTCCTTACCTCCAATTTCCCCGTTTATATATGAATCAAACCTTTGTAGATATTTGGGAGTCAGAAAGCCCTTGGGGGGTGTCCCTGGATAACATTTGTACTTTTAGGAATGGAAGTCTCTCATGGTTTGCCTATTTCTAAAGTGAATAGCAGTCCAAAATCCCAAACCCCACATGAGAGCAGAAACTCCCACCAGGGAGTTAACTGGTGAAGTGGAAGAAAATAAGAAGAAAATGCTAAACTAAAAAGAGTCACACCTGTCATAGCCTACAAACTCTTAGGCCCCTGCTAAGAGCAAGCATGACATTGACACCTGAACTTCAAGGTCAAAAAAAATGAGAGCTTACCTGCGTACTACACCAATAATAACTGTGTTTTCAGAGAGTTTTGATGATCTAATAGACCTTTAAAAAAAAATTTTTTTTTAAATAAATGTAAAGCAATTCTTTAAAAAATATATAAATACACTCAATCTCGGTAGAACAATTAAAGTTGGGGAGAGGTAGAAGAGGGAGCAAGTCAAACTCCGATTTACCTTCTCTGCTACTTGATCTTCCTCCCTCCAGGGCACAAGCTGCACTCAGCAGACAAGTAATCCTAACGCTCACGGAGTGCGAACCTAACAGCTGGCCGAGACCGTGAGCCTGCTACTCATTCTGGCCTTTGTTAATCCAAGCAGCCTCAGGTGGAGAACGTTCCTTACCTTGGGTTTACGTGACTGGGATTATCTGTCTCTCCCTGCCAAAGGGAAATGTGAGTACATGTGTGTTACCGCAAGCTGATGGCCACGATTACAGTGGGGACAAAGCCCAAAGATCAGCTCCCTAAGCCGTATAAACAAAGAGTTCCTAGGTAGGCAAAAGCAGTAGCAACAAATTCAAAACTAGGAAATGCAAGATATTCTAACCCATCAGAAAGAAGAGAATCGCCACAGGGGGCACCTGGGTGGCTCAGTTGGTTAAGAAGAGAATTGCCACCTGACAGAAACAGGTAAGAATGGAGGACTGGTCAGGAGACGTGGGGGACGCTGCCCCACTGAAATCTCCCGTGGAGTACGAGGCTCCCACCGAGAGTGCATTCACCCCTTCCCAGGAACGAAAACCCAGCCAGGAGATGAGACAGGGTGGAAGTCAACGTGACCCAGGAGAGCAGGAGGAGGAACGGCTCCACTGGAGATGTACGACAGCTCACCCTACCTTGGGCCGGGGCGGGGGGGCGGGGGGGGTGGCATGCGGGACTCCGGAGAAGATTCAGAGCCATGCCACAGGAAGAGGGGGAAGGCAGCCCTGGGCTGAAAGGAAGACACTCACGCAGGACGGTGGCTCCAGCAGGAGAACAGAGCGACCGTTCCCTGACGGCCCCAACCACGTCAGAAGTGTGCTGGCCTCCTAGAGAATGTGTCCGGGATGGGACAGAGAACAGCTAAGACTTACTGCATGACTTCCGTTCTGTTAGTTCAAGAAACAGAACCACTCCTGAGTCACAGAACACAGAGAATCATCTGACTCTTTCTCAATTCTCCCAAGGATGGTACATAATGTAGCCTTCCCAGACTCATCAGAGGACATCAATTCAGCATACACAATGGATACCTCAGTTTGGCAAACTTTTTCTGTAAAGGGCCAGATGGCAAGCATTTTAGGCTTTGTGAGCCAGGCAGACTCTATCACAACCACTCTACTCTGCCCTGTAGCGTGAAAGCAGCCACAGACGATGCCTAAACGAATGGCGTGGCCGTGTCCCCTCTGGCACAGCCCTGCCTCACGGCACTGGGGCTTCATTTTCTCAAGGCTGGGTCTCACGACAGGCGCAGACGGGATGTGGGGAACAGAAGTGGCTCAGCGGTGGACGCGCAGCTCCAGGGACGAGCCAGTCGCTCTCACGGGCCGCACAGCTCCCACCTCTCTCTCCGTGTTGCTGTTTTTCCTAGTGTCCAGTCCATTCCTCCGGCTCCTGTCCGCCTGTCCATGCCAGGCGAGGCCAACCGCGAGGGTGCTGCCCAGCTGCTGTACTGGAAGAGCCCTCCTGACAGCTCACTGCAGATCTGCCGACCAGGTGCCGTCCCCGGTTCCCCCAGGGCCTCCGTGCCTGGAGAACAGCCACACTCACCTGCCTGGAGCGGGGCCACGGGGAGGGCTGTACTAGCGGGGAAGGGCGACTGGCACAGCGGAGACTCGCACAGACAAGGCCAGCTTACTTCTCAAAACTGTGGGCTGCTGCTGAGCCTAGCGCAGATCTTACCCGGGGAGAGACAGGCGCCCACAAACGGTATTTCCGTGACTTCTGAGGGCACCGTACTTATTCTTGTGTTCATATTTCTGTCGTATCATAAAGATCTCAAGAAAGAAAAGACAAACTTAAATATGCGGTCAGCTATCTCAAACCAGTTCTCATCTTTTTAGAAGAAAAACAGAGATCCGAGTGGTATAAATAGCAGGCAGGTAACTGTGCGGATACACTCGGGAAGTCATTTTAGATGACTTACTCGGGACACAGGAATGAGGGTGGGCGCTGAGCGAAGGACAAAGCAGAAGGGAAGGCCATGTTTACCTGGAAGCAAGTTGATACCCGCAAAGAAGGGCTAACACTGTATGAAAAGGCGGAGGTCTACTCCTGACTTTTTCTGGTCCATAAGGGGGAAGAACAGACCAGAAAATAGAAATGTAAGGAAACTGGCTTGGAAAAAAAACACACACCCTTTACTTCAGATTCAGGAAAATGAAGAAAGAAATGACTTGGCATAATCAAAATGCATACCCAGACATTAGGAAGGCAGCTTTCGAGAAGTCAGAGAAGAGCGGGCACGAATCTCTAGCACGAGATTCTGAAAGACCGCGTGAGCACTCTGGGAAGCTCTCACAGCAACGCTGGCTGGTTGGCACCAGGTTTATGCATGAGAGAAAACTCCACACAATAGTGGCTTAAGCAAGACTCTTCTCCCACATAAAAGACGCGCAGAGGCACGCGGTCCAAGGCTGTGACAGCACGCGGCAGCACCAGGAGCCTGGCTCCTTCCAGGCGCCCCGAGTCGTGCCTCCACAGGGTTTCTTCCTCGTGGTCCAAGACGGAGGCTACACTCTAGCCACAACACCCACATTCTAGACAGCAGGACACTTTCCAGAAGATGCACAGGACATTCCCACTGGCCAGCTGCAAGAAAAGCTGCGGAATGCGTGCATTTTCTAGGTGGCCAGAGGCCCAGCTGAACACTAAAAATTCTGTTATTAGGAAAGAGTAGAAGTGGGTATAGGGGGCAACTACCATTCTCCAGACACACTGGCAACTACAAATAAATCTGGTGATGGTCTCAACACAACCCTGGAAGAAAGGCCAGGGGACGGAGGCTTACTCCAAGAGCCCAGCAAGGCCCTTCAGTGAGTCACATTTTACAACAACTCCATACTTGTACTTCACCACTGTTCCCTCCACCGTGCGGAATGAGTTTCGGATAGAAAAGAATGGAATTTACAGTGGAACAAAGAGTCCCGGACCGAAGTGAATCCAGAGATGGTCGAAGGCGTCCGGCACCCGAGTTGAGTCTTGCTCCTGCATTCAACCTAGATCTAATTCTGCTGGTGCCCTCTGGGCTCCCATGCAGGGCTTTATTTCCTTCACCTCCCTTTATCAAGTCTTCCCTTTCATGACAGAGCCCTGCTCCTGGTGCACAAAGGAACAGTTCTTCATTTCTTCTGAGTACCATAGGCACTCAGAAGGCACTTCCTTGTGGTGAATCATTTTCTTAGTCTTTAAGGCTATTCTCTCCCCTCTGTTATCTGGCAGCTTTTTATAGGCCTTTATCCTGGTCATTCATCCTTGAAGGGAAGCGAGATCAACCCCGTGGGGAGCCTGCAGCAGAGAGGGTCACAGAAGCCTCCCTTGCATGCCTTTGCTAGGCCCTTGGCATGGGCGGCCCTCCTCCTCCAAGGTCTGGGCCTGCAGATCAAGTCAGCAGATGCGAGTTCCTGCTCAGGGAGCACGGCCAGCAGGCAGGCAGAGGTGAGCTGCACACAGTGGACTCCTGGCTGGCTCTCCCCACCCTCTAACTAAACCTGAGAACCGATGCAGTCTGCTGTTCTGAAACTGTAACACGTCAAAGACTGCTCTCACACTCCTTAGGCTCCTGCCCCTCCTCACAACATGGTAGAAAAACCCAGGTCTCTGTCCCTCTCCCTCTGCTCTAGGTCTTGGGGATCCCAGGGGACACAGAAAGTAGAGAATGAGGAGGCAGCAGGGACTGGGGGGCCTCGGGCAGGGCTCTGGTGCTCAGCTAAGGCAGAGCCGTCTGTTTCTCTGGTCAGCACAACTCCAGCATCCCAGGCTCAGCACGACCGTGGCAGCGAAGCAGAGCCTCTTTCCATCTCCTTCCTTTAGGTTCGTTTGGTACTTCAGCTTCAGAGACTGAAGTATGCGGAGGACGTTTCAGGAGAGGTTCTTCATTAGGCCCCACGGTACAAGAGATACAGTGGGAATCCTGGCCTTCTTCTGCTCTCCCAGCTTCTGATATAACTGTCAGCTTATCTTTGGCTTCTTAATTGCTGTGGTCAGCTTTTGTCTGTTAGCTTCACGGGTTTCTTGACAGGAAGCGGGGAGGCGGCACTGTAATCAGCACAAGACGGCTTCCAACAGCCTCACAGGTGACTGCCTCGCCTTGGCCCCCCTGCCCTTCTCCTCTGCTCTCTAGCCGGCAGCCGCTCACCTTCCACCTGCTCCTGATGTGCCCCTGCACAGACCATGTCAGTGTCTCAACTGCCTACAGGCTGAAGTCCAAGCCTGCGGCTCAGCACCTAAGGCCCTCAAGATGGGGCTCCGGGCTGCTCCTCCAGCCTTCGCCAGAGCCATGTCCTGTGCCTGCCCAGCCCAGCACCTGTCAATACCGAGCAGAGAAGCCCAGTATACCTGCCTCTTCCTGCACATGCTGCCCCCTCCGCCTGGAGCAGCTCTCCCCGACACAGGCCAACTGCAGCACTTTGCATATACCTCCTCGTGGGCACTTGCAGCCTGTACTAAAATCACTCACTTGCCCTGCCAACTGGAACAGTAGCTCTTCAGAGGCAAGAACCATGTCTTATTTACCTGTGGAGCTCTAGTGCCAAAGACAGTGTCCAGAACTGAGAAGACTTGCAAAGCAGGGTTCCTCAACCAGTGGATTTGGAAATAGCACAGACACAGAATATCTGGCCTTCAGCAAGGCATCTGATAAGGAGTGTGAGGAGTTCCAAATGTCCCCAGTAGAGAGATACAGAAGAAGGCTGGTTGTTTAGATAAGTCAGCAACTGATGAAAACCCTTCACAGGTGGTGTTGATTAGGTATCCCAAAAGCAAGAGGAAGGAAAGGACAGAGCTCTGCCAGGGCTAAGGCCTCATGAACTGTGTAAGTCAGCAGAGGGACAGAGAGCATGTGAACAAGTTCAGGAGGGAGAGCCTGGAATGACTCCTTGAAGGAACACTCCACAGTGGGCAGGTTCCCTTAAAGGGATGATCTTAAAGGAGGTAAACCAGGCACAACCAGAACTGAGATGAAAGTGACTTAGAAAACTAAATCAGGGCCTACTCTTGCCTCTAGAAAACTCACTCACTATGGCACAAGGACCCTCCCCCCCAACACACACACACCCTCAGCTAACAAGATGGAGATGATGTGGTAAAACACAGCTAGCAAGAAAAACCAGAGATTCTTGGCCAAGGCCGTTCCTCAGGAAAGGAACATGCTCAGGGGCTGCATTTGTAATCATCTTCTCCCTGGACAGCCTAAGGGGGATGGCTATCCTGCTTACTCTTCACTGGCCCATCCAAACCTGGTGTGAGATTTTCGGTTCTGGAACCACGCTTACAAGGGCTACTGCCTGGAAGAGGACACTCAGAGGAAGCAGGCCTGATGGGGCTGGGATATGAAATCTCACTGTTAGGAGCTGCCAAGACCAGTGAGGATATGCTCCACCCAGGAAAGACCATTCCTGCCCTTGAATGCTGCAAATCTGGGAAAGGGGATTAGGTTGGGCTCAGCAAGAAAGAGAACTTCTGCAGCTCAGAGCTTTCCCTTGGGAACCGCCCCCCCCCCCCCAAACAGAGGCTGGATGTCAGGGGTGGGAACTTAGTAGAGGACATACACACATGACAATCTATACTTCTCTAAAACCTCCTATTAAGCAACCCAGTTCACATGTTTTGATATTCTGCAAGTACTATAAACAAGGCACATTCGCCTAACATTAGAAGACGGTTTTCAACTTTTTATAACTTTAAAAACATCTGGAAGATTTTATTAGCTCCTGTTGCAGTAACATGCAGGTGACGGTTGTAGTTAGTTACAGACTGGGTTTCATTTTAACCCTTAATGGTTTTCTTTTCTTTTTTTTTTTTTTTTACTGTTTTAAGCAAAGCAAAGTAAAACAGAACAGAGGAAGATCAATCCTAGAAATAATGATGTCCTTATGTCTTACTTATTTTACGTGCAAAGAAGGCAACTTAGAAGACAGTGAATTTAACTTGGTGTACTTCTGGGCTGCTCCTACTGTCACACACGCCAGTGGGGCTACTTAGGCCCGCGTCCCAGGCTCACCTGCACAGCGCCTCTGCGTCCAGCTGCCGGGGGTTTCTGTGGTCTATGATGATGATGTCATGATGTTTGTCCAGGAAACAGGCAAGAACAGCCTGAGCCTCCTTGGTAACTGTGCACTTAAACCCTGCTTTTTCACATGCCCTGCAGAATCCATTACACTGGTTATCTTCTTTGGTAAACACTAAAAGTACCTGAATCAAAAAAGTGTGAACACTTTTTTAAAAAAAAGTTTTAGAATGGTAATTTCTTAACATGCCACAGAAAACTCCCAAGTGTTTTCAAGGCAAGTACACAGATGTGAACATAATAATCTGTTGATAGAAATCCTCCTACACATAAGTCAGGGACATTATCACTCAGCTCCCCCAAATTAGTGCTATTTTATCTGCTCTTGTCTGGAAGTCCAAGTGCATGGGTCATATACTTATTCTTTTGCTAATAAGCTCACTGGCAGAACTCAACAAAAGCTTGATTAAGCATTTTATCTTAAAATTATTTAAATTACAACACACAAATACTTATTTTAGTTAATAGTAAGTTAACTAGACAAGTCCTTAGATGGCAAAAACTAAAACTATTTTAGTCAAACTTTTAGAATACTTAAGACTTTATTTTTTAAAAAGATTTTATTTATTTATTTCAGAGAGAGAGAGAGGGAGAGGGAGCATGAGTGGGGGGCAGAGGCAGAGGTAGAGGCAGAAGCAGACTCCCTCCTGAGCAGGGAGCCTGATGTGGGGCTCGATCCCAGGACCCCGAGATCATGACCTGAGCCGAAGGCAGATGCTTAACCGATTGAGCCACCAAGCTGTCCCAAATACTTAAAACTTTAAATAATGTATTAAATGTTTTGACTCAAGATTTTATGTAATTCCTCCAAGTTAAAAGAAATTACTTTGATGATAAGATTTCAAGCAGACCAAAATATAATACCTCATAACCAGCTAGGTAATCCCTCAACCTCCCTTCCCTCTGGAAACTACTAGATTGTTCTCTATAAGTCTGCTTCTGCTTTTTGTTGGTGGTGGTGGTTTATTTTTTTAGATTCTAAATGTAAGTTAAATCATATGATATTTGTCTTGGGGGAAAGTGATTTTTATTCTTTTTTTTTTTTTTAAAGATTTTTTTTATTATTTATTTATTTGAGAGAGAGAGAGCACATGAGAGGGGGGAGGATCAGAGCGAGAAGCAGACCCCTGCTGAGCAAGGAGCCCGATATGGGACTCGATCCCGGGACTCCAGGATCATGACCTGAGCCGAAGGCAGTCGCCTAACCAACTGAGCCACCCAGGCGCCCCAAGGGGGAAAGTGATTTTTAAAAGGTAAACTTCCAAGGGTGCCTGGGTGGCTCAGTCGGCTAAGCATCCGACTCTTGATTTTGGCTGAGGTCATGATCTCAGGGTTGTGAGATCCAGCCCCGCGTCGGGCTCCATGCCCCGCGCTGGGCCTGGAGCCTGCTTAAGATTCTCTCTCTCCCTCTCCCTCTGCCCCTCCCCAAAACCCCCTGACCCCTGCTCTCAAGTAAATAAATAAATAAATAAGGTAAACTTCCAGTCTCAAATATATACGACCCCGGGGTTACAAGGGATGGCAGGGGGAATATGGTTAACAATATGTAACAACATTATATGGTGACACATGGTAGCTAGAGATATAGTGATGGTCACTTCCTAATGTGTATAAATGTTGACTGACTCTGTTGTACGCCTGAAACCAATATAATATTGTAGGTCAACTGCATTTCAATAAAAATCGATAAAGTTCTCATTGACAGCAAATGACAAAATAAAGAAAACCGTCGGCTAAGCAACACAGGCACAGCGCCGGGCTCAAGGGGTGGCAGCTGGGCCCCTGGCCCAGGATGATGGCTCGCTGTCCCGGGGCCTGGCCTGGATCAGCTGAGGCCTGCATCTGCTGCCTCTCGCCTCTCCAGCCAGGCACCCCCCACCCCCACCCCCGGCCAGGTCTGGGTCAAAAGCGCACCGCTCCGTCCCTCCAGACCCAGATGGGTTCATGAGGGCAACGCTGGTAAGGTGGAGGGGGGCAGCCTGTGAGAAAGACTGCAAAGCTGACGGAGACCCTGTCCCCCAAGGCTTAGCTCCTCTAAGTTTCCCCAAGTGCACAACTACCACAAATGCACACTTCTGCCAGTCCTAACAGGAGACGTGGTTTGTGTGCAGGAAGCATCAAATAACTTTGGAGCTCAATTTCAGTAGCTGATGTCGTCTAATATTTTGGATTTGATCGCTTAAATATTTTCTGATAGAGCATATTCAGCAACACGGAAAAGACCATGCTTTTGCCTTTTTATACTGGAAAATTTCAAACCTACAGAAAAGCTGTGAGTGCAATGAACGTTAGTGGACCCTTCTTCTGTTTTCATCAATTGTTAAGATTGTGCTCCCTTTGCTCTCCCCCTCCCCCCCCACAATTATGCACATTCTTTTCTTTATTGCTGAACCTTTCAAAGTAGGGTGCACACACATGTGTGTCCAAGAAAAGTATATTCTCTTGTATAACTAGGGTACTATTATCAGCTTCAGGAATTTACCATTGATCCAATACTATTACCTAAAATAGAAAACTGTTTTCACTGTTAGGTCCTCTCCCTCCCCCTCTTTAAAGAAAATCAATATGTAAAAATTACAGTATGGCTTATTATTACCTGGAGTTGATGTGGATGAAATCTCATGGGGCCAAACTGCACATCAGCTACTGCTACCTGTAAGAAAAAGGTATGCTTAAAAAATATATATTTTTTAAAGATAAGCTCACTTTAAAATTTCTCTAATCAGTGCCACAGATGAAAGTGAGATTTTTACTCCAGAGAAAAATTACATAAATAGTTATTACACAGAATCCCAGGGATCTCCTTCTAACCCTCAGGAAAGGTGCAGAGTAGAGAGGGAGAAATAAAATGAATCTGATCCTGGCTCTGCTTTTCCTAGCTGTGTATGACTTTAAGTGAATTACTCAACCTTCCTCAGCCTTCTCACTTGTTACAAAGACAAATGAGTTTACAATATAAAGGGCCCCCCCAAACTAGACACTGAATGAACACTGATTCCTTCTATCTTTCTCCTGATGGACCATGAAGTCTTACTTCAAGAAGGGCACACACATAAGGAAATCCAGCAGTTAGAATCATGTGACATCAGAGCATTTTACAGAGGAGCACAATGTTTATCAATAATTGCTTATCTACTTGAGAACTCAGCACTAAAACGACACAGGTAAATACAATGTCACAACCAAATCCCAATGAGTAATAATAATCATAACACCAATGGAGGGGCTTAGCGTATACTGGGCGTCATCCTAATTGCTGAACGTGTGTTATCTTGCTCGATCTTTATAGTAACACAGAGAGGTTTACGGTTGGAAAACTGAGCTTCCAAGTACCTTGTTTAATGCCACAGAGTCAGCAAGTGGCAGCTGGGATTTCACTGCAAAGCCAGGGCCACTGGAAGGTGTGGGCAGTCTGTGCACTGCATAAGGGAGCCCAGGGGAGGAAGAATACGGGGCTGAAATACAGCCCTGAGTGATGGGTGCTGGCACTGAGTTGCTACCCAGAGGAGGAGACAAATTTCTGCAATTTTCCCAGAACCACTGTATGTACTGAAGGGATCCCCAGGCCTCTGGGTGGTGGTATGATTCCATGGCAAAAAAATCCTAGATCTATAAGCTTTCCCGCAAGATATTTCCTGACTGCCCACCTCCCACGTCTCCCTCAAGTAGCGATCTATCCCCAGTTAACAAATGAAACAAAGCTTGCTCAGTGATGGGGCAAGTCCATGTTTATTTCTCACTGCTAGAAGGTGATGCCTGCCAACTATGGGACACCAGCCTAGTTTCTGATCTGCTTTGTAACAATTTCATCTCTCAAAATCCTAAGAATGGGGGCCACTACTATTCCAGACCTAAGACTGAGGGGGACTCTGTGGCAGGGCGGGAGGCTGAGGAGAAGAGACCTCCCCCAGCACGATCTACCCCCCTGCACTGTGTAGCTGCAGGCCAGCCTCATAGCGAGGGGCGCAGCTGATGCCAAAGCCAGCAGTCCTGAGATGATCCAAGGAGGCCAGGAGAGTCTTCAAAGACAGGTCTGCTCTATACAATCATACGCTCACGGTGCACTCAGAAGGAAAGCAAGAGGCACTGAGACCAATCTGAACAAAGAGTTTCTGTCAGTTTTTACAAAGTTTAAAGGAATGAATGAAAGAAAGTACAAAGAAGGATATAAACCGACTGCTTGGAGAATGCAGCGGACCTACTCAGGAGAAAGAAGGAAGAAAATGACAGGAGAAAGAAAGAGAAGGAAAATCATTTCGCTAACTTTCTATAGCAGGGGGGACAGTTTCATAGAAGAAAGCAGAAGACTCATGAGCAGGAAGCCCACTGCTACTGCCCAAGATAAGGCAGGAGCGAGGCAGTACTTGGGTCGCCTACGTGAGTGGGGAGCGGTAGCCTCTGACAGAGGATACTTACGAAATTGGCTCTGAAGGGTCAAGTAGACAAAAAAGTCTCAAAGGAGAAAAAGAAATATTTATGACTAGTGTAAAAACATATAATATACTAGGTCACAGAGGAAACTTTAAAAACACATGGCTAAAAGTAAAAATGGTACCATTTTTATTCTTCAACCATAATGCCAACAAACCAGAAATTAAAAACATGAGCTTAAGCAAAATCAAGAAACACCACTGCCCTGAAAAATTTTTAAATATTAACTTGTAATCGCTGGGTCAGAGAGGGAAATGCAAATTATACCTACAGATTACCTGGAAAATAATAAAAATGAGAATACCATGTAATGAAACTTACGGGATACTGCTAAATTTTACTCAGAGGCAAGATTCATAGCCTTAAATCCTTCTGTCACCAAACAAGAATTAAATACACTTACCAAGCTTTCAAGTCACTAAGTTTGAGAAAGTCAACAGTACAAACTTAAGGAAACCAAGAGGAAAAAAAAATAAAGTTAAGGTTAATAATTAATAAAATTTAAAAATATGATAACGACTAGCACGTTTAAAAAAATACATATGTGTGTACACACACACATAGATGTATATATAGAGTTGATTACAAGCTGAGGGACAAGATAAAAGTATGAATGGCTCAGGGCAAAGCCTTATCCCTCCCAGGAAAACAACTCTGAGCACACGGTCCACACCAAAAGTGGGTGAAATAACTTTCACAGACAAAGGACAGTATAACTTTATGATCTCAACTTACAAAAATAACTCACCATTGCATTCATTTTAAGAAATAAAAGAAGCTATAGATTTTTAAAAAATTATTAATTTTGCCTCAGTATAATTTTAATATCATTTCAAAACAGTAATGTTTCAGCAACTGTATTTTACCACCGAACACTTATTTACTTAACTAGATTGCATTTTAACCTTACATCCTGTCTACGGGGTATATCCGGCTCTCAGGACCTCTGTCGAGCAGTGTCCCAGCAGAGCCGGACAACTACTTACCACTGCCCCCCCAAAATAACCACCACCAGGAAATCTGATGACATTACTCAGTGAGCGGACGTCAGCAGTGAGCCCTCAAAGAGTAAACAACTTCCCAACTGCTCTGGAAAAGGGGATCAGAACTATAGAATTCCTGCATTCTTCCTTTCTTTGTGTATGAAAATCAGAATCAAACTGACCTAATGTTTCAAGGTCACAGCCCTCTTAATAATTTGTTGTGCACATTAATATTTAAAAGAGAATAGTCCTCTTCAAGCTAAGTTTAATATCACAGCTTTGATTTAATCTTTCAGCTTCAAAAGCAATTGATATCTTTCGACAATACAGAAACAACACTATGTTCATGGATATTGGTAATTATACAAGTTGCTTAGTCTTCTGGATTTTTAGATATGTGTGATTAATACTGATTGTTAAAGAGAGATTGTAAGTAGTCTCTTTGTATTTTAATAAAGTAATATTTGTAAATATGGCTAACAGAAACACGAAATAAATTATTATTGAAACTTTGACAAACCACTATCAGATTTCTTTTGTTTGCCTAACTGACCTAACATTTAGAAGTGACACTAGAAGGCCAAACCAGGGTTATGAATCTTGATCATGGGTGGGGGTGGGAGAGAAAAGAGATACAGAATACCAATCTACCTAAAACTTCTGTTCCCCCAAACCAACATAGCCTATCCCTTGCCTGCTGTTTTTTTCTCTGTAGTTCTCAGTCATCATTTGCAAAACTCCATATTTTACTATTTATCTTCTTTACTGTCTGCCTCTCCCACTAAGAATGTAAGTTCTATGAAGGCAGGGATTTATATGCTTTATTCATTGCTGTATTTCCAATATCCAAAACAGTCCCTGGCACACAGTGGGCATTTAAGAAATATTTTTTTTTTAAAGATTTTATTTATTTATTTGAGAGAGAGAGAGAATGAGAGACAGAGAGCACGAGAGGGAAGAGGGTCAGAGGGAGAAGCAGACCCCTTGCTGAGCAGAGAGCCCGATGCAGGACTCGATCCTGGGACTCCAGGATCATGACCTGAGCCGAAGGCAGTCGTTTAACCAACTGAGCCACCCAGGCGCCCCCAAGAAATATTTTTGAATCGATGTTTACTCAACAGCTAATTTTGTTTAAAAGATTTTATTTATTTATTTGACAGAGACACAGCGAAAGAGGGAACACAAGCAGGGGGAGTGGGAGAGGGAGAAGCAGGCTTCCTGCTGAGCAGGGATCCTGATGTGGGGCTTGATCCCAGGACCCTGGGATCACGACCTAAGCCGAAAGCAGACGCTTAACCACTGAGCCACCCAGGCTCCCCTGATTAACTCCATTTTAATGATGAAGAAACTGAAGCTCAGAGCAGTGTGGTTCAACAGTTGGTAAAGGACAATGATGAGAACAAGACCCAATTCAGGGGGACTGAATTCCTGTGGTCTTTTTATGCTCCATTGGGAAAGGCCTAAAATCACCTGACCCTAACCTATATTTAGTGGAAATAAGACCAAGAACCTGGAAAGCAGCATTCACCCACTTGACAAATCTTTGTTGGGCACCCCTGGTACACGAACTGGTTTCCTAGGCATTCAACACCCAACAGAGAACTAGACAGACAGTATCTCTACCTATCAGGGGGAGATGTGATGGAGACTAACGGGGGTGCTGTTTTGAATCAGAGTCCAGGAAGGCCTCTGAGGCAGCAATGTGGAAGATGAGATCTGAATGAAAAGGCGGCAGCCATGCAAGGAATGGAAGAAGGAGCCCCAGGCAGAGGGAACAGGGGTGCATGGGACCTATGGTGGGAATGGGGGACATTCAAGGAAAGGAAGGGGAAGAGGGCAGGAGATGAGGTCATGGCTAGACAGGGGCAGTAAGATGCAGAGCTTTCTAAGCCAGGACAAGAAACTTGAGTTTTATCCTAAATTTCATCAAAAGCCACTAAAGAATTTTATACAAGAAAGTGATAGGATCTAATTTTTATTTTTTAAAATAGATCCCCTTTATATTTTAAATGGATCCCCGGTGGGGAATGTACAGTGGGACGTGACAGCAGAGGCAAGGAGACCACTGAAGAAGCTTCCATAGCAGTCCAAGTGAGAGACGATGGCCCTATGGCCCAGGAATTGCCATGGAGACAAGCAGATGGCTTTGGGGCATTTTGGAGGCAGGGTGATCAAGACTTGCTGATGGACAGGACATAATCAAATCTACTGGTTCCTAGACCAGAGTTCTGATATCTGA